GTAGGGTATAAATCCAACTCTTCTTCTTCGGGGTGCTTTCCGTCCTGGTCGATCTTCTGTAATCTGTTCCCCAGGTATCTGGCAAATCTGGAATTAAAACATTCTCTTCTGAGGATATCGGTCGATTCCAGTTTGATATCCTTGGATACTGTTGGAATCTTGGCAATGCGTGTTGGGAATGAAAGGAAGGACCTTCGTATGTATGTCTATCTGAATGTTTCAGTGTCTTTGGTAGTGTCTTCTATTTGTCTGATTTCCACCAGGATTTTTTCCCAGATAATCCCCAAATAATCTGTTTCCCGTAAGGGTATGCCGTCACAATAGCCTTTGAATGGAAGTCAGCTTGCCATGCCGGAGCCAGAAATTCTTGTTGCTGCAGTAGCCAAAGACATGGCTCTGGACAAAAATATTAGTGAGACCAACATCACGTCTGCTGTGAGGGAGGTTGCCTTAAGAATTCTGTTGGCCCCTTCCCTGAGGCTCCTGCGGGACTCTGGTGGCAGCTGGAGTATTTTCCTTGTCCAGATGATAGCTGCCCTGCATACAATGGATGCAGTTGCAGACGCTTGATTGCCACAGATATGAGCTTTCTGCTGTGCAAAATCTGCTTTTTATCTAAGCTGTCACGAATGGTGCCTTGATCATCTTCTGATAACAGGCTGAGGGACTGGAGTGCTGTAATAAGAACATCCACCAGTACAGCCTGCAAGACCTGATTAGCAAACAATTGTAATGCATGCAAATTCTTGATAAACACTGGGTACTACCTGTTTGCTAAAAGTTTGGCCTACTCATATTTTAACAGCTTTTCAAAGAAAAATTCTTTATTCTCTCTAAGGCAGGGGTGTCCAACATGCAGTACAAGGGCTGGATCCGGCCCCTGCAGGGCTGGTATCTGGCCCGCGAGCAACTGCTTCCTTCTCCCTGTTTCTCAGTACTGCTGCTGCAAAGGGGGGAAAGGAAAAGAGAGTGCATGTGCTTTCTGCTTCCTCCTCCTCCTAATAATAATAATAATAATATTTTTTATTATTATTATTTCTATTATTTTGTACAAGTATTTCAATGCCCTTCTCCTCTTGATCATCTGCCAGAAACTCTCCCTCCTCTCTGCTATCAGACTCAGTGCCAGGAGAAGAATCTGGGTCTCAGCCCAATGTTTTGGCTCTCCCTCCCTCTTTTTCTGTTGGCAGATCCTTTTTGTGCTACCTTGGCTGGCCATTTAGCAGTCTCTTTAATTAATGAGGTCCCCCTTGAACTGGCATGCCTTGGTGGGGAATAAGAGGAAGGGCAACTGGGTAGTGGGTCTGTCTGATCTAAGACTCCCTTGCTGACAGAAAACTCTCAATTTCTTCCCTCATCTCTGGAGGGAAATTAAAAGGCCCAGAAGCTGTTACTTTACCGACCCGTTGACCTTCAAAAAAGTTTGCTGGTTGTATTGAAGCGGGAATCAGGTGCTGCCAATCACTCCCATCGGTTCCAGTGCCCATCTGACTTGCGGAGGCTACAGGCTCCTTTCCACAGCCTCCTGCTGAGCCTTCAAAATGGCCACCATAATCAGCAGACTTGATCGGGCTAAAACCTCCAGAGCCGTCTTTTGAGTACAGCATTTTTTCGCATGCATTTGAGGCTCCTGAGCAGGCAGCCCTGTTACCTCCATGTCTGCCCGATCCAGGATCTTTCTGATTCCAGCCACGATGGGAGCCCCAACTCCGTGTCAGAGAGGAAGCCATCTCTGTCCTCTCTGGGATCCACAGCTTGAGCGGTCAAGCAGCCACATTATGCAAGCTGTTTAAAAAAAATGGCTGCTGCTCTGATGGAGCCTCCAACTCTGTTTCGGAGAGGAAGACATCGTGTACCCCCTGGTACCCATAGCTTGAGCGACTGGGAAGGCATGCTATACAAGCAGTTTGTAAAAAATGGCCACCACTCTGACGCAGATCACTGTCTTTGCTCTTTTCTTTCCTGAGCCAAGAGATGTCAGAGGAAGGAGGAGACAAGAGGATAAGATTAAGGACAAGGTAAGTGGCCTAGATTAAGATTTTAAGGATCTGAGTGAAGAACAGATAAACGAGTAAGATAATGAAAGTGGAAGTAGGACCTCCTACTGACTAGCTGCTCTCTCTGGTGAGGCAGGAAAAGAAATGAAAAGAATGACTCCCACAGGAAAGAGGTAGGAAGTCAGGAGAGAATTGTTACTGCCTCCCTGACAGGGGTGTGCATTCAGTATTTTTCAGGTATTTCCTAAGCCAGATCGGATTCTCTAATATTTAATTAACTATCAATATAGAGAATCCTAATAAAAACTGATATTATTTGGCTTTTATTCTGCTTGGCCACAGCAATACCAAATCTCAGCTTCTCCTGGCCCGTGGTTTAAACTGTGGGGCAGGAGAAGCCTCCCAGGAAAGTCTGCATTTGGTGGGGAGAGACCTCCTGCTGCACGCAGATCCTGAGGCCAGCTTCTCCTGGCCCGCAGTTTAAACCATAGGACAGAAGAAGCCTAATGCATTTACAGAGATGGTCCCTTTAAATGCGTTTTGCAAGCTGCTGCCATGTCCGCTGCCAGTTTGATGCTTCTGGCTTGCAAGGGTACCATTCAACACACTTCCTCCCCTTTTGCACATGAATCCTACGATCTCCTCCCCCCAAAGCCAATCTGCACACAACTTGGAGGCCACATAGAGGTGCACCCTGGGAAGGTCTGCTGCCAGTTTGATGCCTCTAGCTTGCAGGGGAGTCGTTTGACACACTCTCTCCCCTTTTGCATATGGGCCCTAGGATCTTCTCTCCCCCTCCCAAGCCAATCTGCACACAACTTGGAGGGAGGACCCTGCCAGTTTGATGCCTCTAGCTTGCAGGGGGGCTGTTTGACACACTCCCTCCCCTTTTGCACAGGAATCCTAGGATCTCTCCTCTCCCCCAAGCCAATCCTGCACACAACTTGGAGGGCAGGTAGAAAGGCACCCCAGGGATGTCCACCTCTAGCTTGCAGGGGGGCCGTTCGACACACTCCCTCCCCTTTTTCACATTGGCTGACTCTAGGATCTTTCCCCCCAAAGCCAATCTGCACACAACTTGGCGGGACAGTCCCTTCAAACGCATTTTGCAAGCCATAGTGCAAGTGAAACCAGAAGGTTCACTCATGCCATGGTTTGCAAAACTCATTTAACGGGATGGTTCCTTTAAATGCCAAGCAGAAAAACTCAGCAATCCCAATTATTTCCCGAATCCCAATATCGTGCCGATATTAAAATTCAGGAAAATCAGGAAATACTGATATTTTTGGGGTTCAATACATCCAAACCTGAAAAATACTGATTTTTTTAAAGTGCACACCCCCTACTCTCTGATTGGATGGTGGGAATCACCCATCAAGATGATTCAAGGTCTTTCCGTCACATCCCTTTTCCTTTGTGGAGGAGTTGCAGCTCAGTGGTAGAGCATCTGCCTGGCATGCAGAAGGTCCCAGATATAATCCCCAGCATCTCCAGTTAAAGGATGAGGTGGTAGGTGATACGAAAAACCTCTGTCTGAAACCCTGGAGATCTTCTGTCAGTCTGAGTAGACAACACTGACACTGATGGACCAAGGGTCTGATTCAGTATAAGGCAACTTCATGTGTTCAAGATGTTCTCTACCTCAAAGGGAGAAGAAAAGAGGCCAAGGCTAGTGAATAGCTGCCAAGAATGCTGCCCTACATGCCACTGTTTGTATTTGGTAACACAGACACCTGCTGGGAACTAAAAGAAATTATAAGGGACTACTGTGGGTGTGAGAAAGAGATAGTTCAAAATAGTTCCTTTGAATTGTGTCCTCAGGGCCAGAGGTAGCCAGTGAAAAATCAGCTTGTCTGGTGTAAACTGCTTCCAGTGGCCTATCCCCCAGTTAGGATACTGGCCATTCCATTCTTTTCTGTCTGATACTCTCAAACAAGCTTCAAGGACAGTTCCCTATAAATAGCACCGTGTAACAGTGAAGTCTTCAGCATAAATGAGTCCCCGTCCCCCCCATCCCAGTATAATTGACCTTCCTCCATGTTCCAATTTTCTCTACGCTTGCATCTTTGGAGTGTGGACCCTCTTTGTGACAGTATCTTTACTTGAACTCAAGTCTAATTTTTTTAACTTGGGACATGCAATGAGAAAACTGGTTCCATAGCAGAAATGACACAACCTTGAAGCCAATAAGCCACACACAATTTGCACCATCAAAGGTACATCTATGTAACAAAGACTGCAGCAAAGGGTCAAAAGGAAACAAAAGACTAGTAAATACATCACTAGATGTTACAGCTTCATATATTTCTAATCTCAATTTCATTTGAAGTATAATGAACATCTGGAACAGGCACACAAAAACTCTGATCTTGTTATGTGGCATCTAGCAATAAAGTTCAGCTATTTGCCTGAATGCATCTCACCGATGATGTTTGCAAGATCATATATTCCTAGCCTGAAAAATCTGCCTTCCAAAGCTTGCTCAGTGTTTTGTGTCAATATTGCTCATCCTAGTAAAAGGTACTACATGGATTCTGTTCTTGGTTTTGGGTTTTGCTTGGATCAATATGGCTGTTTACAACTTTGTTAAACTTCACCAGAGACTTGGCAGTTATGCAGAACTGTACACCTTGATACAGTTTGTCTTGACATAAGTCCTCTCTATACATCAGGCAAACTGTATAGAATGAACAAACAATGAGGCCAAGGTCTCTGGCATGACTTCCCCTATATGCATAGGATGCAACGTATAAGGATACACATCTATAAAGGGCAACATAAGCAGAATAACAACTCACCATCAGGAGCGTATTTTGATGCTATCCCCAAAATAACTGCGAGTGCAACAAAAAATGAAAAGCTAGAGATGGCAAAACAAATGAGTGTATTTTTGTGTCTTTTTTTCCTGCTTGCTTCTGCTTGACATCGCTGTTCATCTGAGGAGGCTACTGTGGCACGAGCTTCCTGTCTCGCAGAAGTAAATTTGGCTGAAGCTTGGCTCTTTGGAGGGGGTGGAGGACGAAAAGGGACAACAATTCTTCCCGGGACATATCCTGAAGATTTATGACTGCTTCCATTCTGAGGCTGAAGGAAGGCAGGAGAACTCGCCTTGGGATCAATGGCTTGCATGTTACACAGTCACTGGAACAACAACAAAGGAGTTATAATTTAAAATTCAAGTTGTTAAGTAATTCTCTTGAATTACACACTTCATTAGTATGTATCCTGCCAGCTGGAGCTTTCTGACTAACATGGAGGGAAGCTGCAAATATTCAGAGACTAAAACCATACACACATTTCAAACCCTTACAGAATAAAAAAATCCAACTTGAACTGCATCATCGGCACTTACACAGCCAGTTTTGCAATATATCACTGATGAACAAAAGTCAGTGGAATAAAATGTTAATTCGATTACGGTCAAGTGCTTCAGTTTTTGCAATTAGATAACAACTGATTATTATAAAAATTTCTTAATGGCTTTCAGTATTGGTACAAACATTATTTTACTTAGAATGTGTAGATGCCATGACTTCAGACACCTAAGTAACAAAGCAACTGAAAATTCAAACAAATACTGTTCAACAAAACAAACCCCCAACTAACAGCCAACAACCCAACAGTGCCTCAGCAGCAATCCAAAGTCAGTCTCTGTCAGCTCAGGCAAGAAGTCCTACTGGCAGCAGAGAATTCCTATTCCATCCTTAGTCCTTTGCAACAGGTACATACAGTCAGAACTGGGGCTCTGCCTAACAAAGAATACCACAAAAGCCTACGGCACTACAGCCACTCCCCCACCCCACCCCACCCCACCAAGCTAGGCTGGTCCTGTGCTCAGAAACACACAAGGAACAATTGGGAGAGATCTACCCATCCCTCTTCCTCCAGCCAAGGCACACCAGATTGGCTTCTAGGTCTGACTGGTAGTTATTAAAGATAAAGATATTACATGAACAGAAGTGCTGAGATCTGACAATCCAAATGTTAGCCAGCATCCTGATCAGATCATTCATATGATGCCAAATTAGCTGGGGGTGTGCCAGAGCATGGAATCTACGTGGCCTCTCCAAACCTCACCACTTTTTGTAGTTGTTGGGTGAAATACATAGAGATGCCCAGACAAAAACTGTAAACAAATAGGGGGGATTTCTCTATTTTACCCCCAAATCCCCACCCATTTTTCTGATGCAAAAACTGGAAAGTTGGGGGACCACTAATAAGAAACCCCTATGCAATATTTTCTGTTTTAGAATGGGTAAAATGCTTCTTAGTGCAAATTCAAAACGTAACATTTCCACACACACCCCACACAGATATGCATCATTCATCTATAGTTGCCAGGGCTGCTGTGCTGCCAATCACGTCAGAAGGGCTAAATGTGGTATGTGAAGCATGGACGAACTCCAGTCCTTTATACATGGCATACTTGCCTCTTTTTGCTAACACAATTTAAAGGTTTAAATTATTTATTTAAATCTGAATAGGAAAACTTGCTTGAAAAATTTCTAATTCAAATTTTCCTGGAAAACCCACATCACTGATAGCGCTGGGAGGGAAAAACGTCCTATGAAATCTTTTCTCTTTTGGGGGTGAGACAAACCTTGTCCTAAGTAGTGTTTCACTAATGAAAAAAGTCTTGAGAACCTTCTCAATTTTTCCAATGGAAAAACTGGGAGATTTGGGGGAGTAATGGAACAAAGAACACTCTTACACTGCAGACAGACAATACTTCAAGGGTTTTTTTGTTTAAATTGAAATGTTGGCAACAATTAATATGGTACAACGTATTTCATGATAAACAATTATTAAAGAGTTCAGTGTTCTCAAAGTTATAAAGATTAGTTAAATAGGTTTAATATCCAAATATGCTGATAGTTCTACCTATTGTGACTCTTTGCCTATTGTTCACCATAGTATTTGTTTCCTCTGTTATTTTTTCCCTACGTCTCCAATGGCAAAATTAAAGAGACAAGTGCTATGGTAGCAGAGGGTGCAGCAGTCTGCAACTCTCCCAAAGTATACCTGCAATTTTTTCTAATAGAAAATGAAGATAGTTAGGCTTTTGAATTTTTATAAATATACCAAACAGCATAATTCTATAAGCACCTTTAGTTATAAATAGCATGTTTCATGTTGTTAAATCAGTGTCTGTTTCATAGGAAAGTAAGTGTTGCATATATTTCAAATTTTCCCAAAATGTCCAGTTTCAGAAATTTTACACCTCTAGAAATGCACACCCATTACTACAGAATGCATCTGAAGTGACAAATGTGTCACAGGCCTTTGTGGGCTTCACGTCACTTGCATCTTAATTTCAGAAGAATGGCCATGCTAAACTCTTGCAGCAAAGTGTGCCCTAGCACCTCATACAACCACAGACCAGTGGATGCAAAGTCCATATCACTTTTGCCAAAACCTAAAGTGATATCTCCCCAGTCTTCTGCCTTACAAGTTCCTAATAAGCAACAATGGACTTCTGTAGCAAATCTATACTTGACTAGGTTAAACTAAAACCTAGTGTAGTGTAGTGCAGCACGCCAAGCGGAACTAAAGTAAATCAATATTTCCTATGAAAATCAACAAAAAAGAGTTTATTTTAAAAGCAGTGAAGTCTGCTACGGAGCCTGTGTCAGGATGCAAAAGAACATCATGCCTCAGAGGACACAATATTCTCCCAGGCATGCATACAATGAAAGCAAAGAGAGAAGTGAAACATTAAAAGGAGTAAGAACAATGCAAGGGCAAAAAGCATGCCCCGGGTCTCTATGTTCCTTGTACCTGTCCCTGTGGTCAAGTCAAACTCCATGGGCAATGGACAGCTAACAGTACATGGGCAAAGTGTCTTTAAAGGAAACAAAAAGCCTCTAATATGAAATAAGTAATTAGAATACTGATGGTAACCACTTACTGAGATCTACTGTACTTTTTAAAAACTGCTTATGATTTCTATAACCCATATAAGAACTGCTTAAAAAACTTCAAACAAAAATGCTAAATATACCCAACATCAAATGTAGGACAATATTTTAGGATTCATACAGATCTCTAAATACTTCTTTTTTTGTCTAAATGTCTACAGGTGGCTACTTAAGAAGTGAACTCTGGTGCAATCTACAGCATACACATAATTCCAATAGTACATGGATTTCATGTTCTGCCTTCTTTATCCCTGCAGACAGACACTGTTCTTCTAGACTTCTGAAAGAATGCATTGAACCCATGGGAAGGGAGTTAGTCAGGTCCCACTTATTGGATGAAGTTTCCAAATTCCACTAGGCAAGACAAAGGTCCCTAGAGGGGAAAAAAACTGTGAACCATAACAAAGGACCCCCCTAGACTACATCTACTCAGTAAGGGAAAATTCCCTACAGGGGTACTATCATTCTATGAACATTACATACTTTAACAGAACAGGAGGAGGAGATTGGATTTATACCCCGCCCTTCCCTCAGAGTCTCAGAGCAGTTTACAATCTCCTTTCCCTTCCCCTCCCTTGTGTAGGAGAGGTGGATGGATGCTTACAGCCACCGGGGAGGTTTGCTCAGCAGGATTGCCTTAGCCCTGCTGCTGGCCCAGCCTCCCTGGTTCCTTTAAATACAATCCCCTCCAACACCAGGCAGGCCGGTGTCTGTCAGGTGTAGGAGCAGGGCCAGGGTAAGAATGTGCATGGGGAGATAGTAAAGGACATTTCTAGGAGCCATTTCGATGTGTGCCTCCCTCATTAACCTGAAGAAATGTCCACCACATCACCACTCCCTCACACCAACTCCCCCTCACACCTCTCACCTCTTACTGCCCCCAAGAAAGCTCCTGGCAAATGTTGAGCCAGATACACCAACGCTACAAGGAGGAGGCAACTTAGGAATGCGGCAAAGACATTTATTTGTACATAGTACTCCTGCAGTGCACTGAGCTGCACAGGCCAAGTACCAGCAAGATCACCCTGAGGTGTTCAGAACAACACAGTCTCCATATGAGCAAAACAATCCAGGAACACAAGTAGAGAGGCCATCACTTTTGTGGAAGGTAGCAGGAGTTGACTCAATAGACGACGACTTCTTAAATCGACAGTTCTATGTGGCCTGCTCCAGAGTGAGCTCATCAAGCAGCCTGGTGATCCTAGCACCTGAGGGCAGAACCACCAATGTGGTGTAGAGAGAGGTCCTTCAGTAGAGGAGGAAAAAAGTACGTATGTCTCACACTACAGTCTTCTTTGTTATAATTCCTACAACAAATATCACATTTCACATCATCAGTATTATAACTGGATTTACATAACTTAAATACCGTAGCGAAGCACAGGTAATAGGCTACTTATTAAATATAAGTTACGTGTTAAAGAAGTTTCTTTTCCTTCCCCCCTGTCCTTCTATAGTTTTGAGGCTTTGTAATTATGTTTTCAACAGGAGCTGCGGTGGCTCAAGTGGTTAAGATGCTGAACTGCAGGCTGTGGAAGGTCAGTAGTTCAGCAGTTCAAGACCCGGGTTGCTGCATGACGGAGTGAGCTCCCGTCTCTGGCTCCAGCTCCTGTCAACCTAGCAGTTCGAAAGCAAGACATTGCAAGTAGATAAATAGGTACCACTTCAGTGGGAAGTTAACAGCGTTCTGTGCACCTTGGTGTTTAGTCATGCCGGCCACATGACCACGGAAACGTCTTCGGACAGCGCTGGCTCTTCGGCTTTGAAACGGAGATGAGCACCGCAACCCTAGAGTCAGATTCGACTGGCTTTCGAGCAAGGGAACCTTTACCTTTACCTAATTATGTTTTCACATCCATCAGTACTGTATTATATTATATATCAACAAAAACCTAAGTGCTCAGTGTCCTTGTGAAGTGCTTTGACAGCATATTTATATTTTGGCTAAGAAACTCCTGAGACATTTACTCCAAAACATTTTCCTGCCAGATCATTAACCTCAATCTCACCAAGTATTTTCTAAAATAAAAGTTCATTTTGTAAGTCATTCAAAATGGTAAACATATTCTAATTTCATTTTCTCCCAAGGACACAGAACATCCAAGCCTGGTACAGTGAAGAGAACAAATGTAATCCAGTTCAGTTATAGGAATGTAGAAATTAGTGTAGAAGATGCTTGTCGTAAGGCATATATACACACAGCCAACCTAATTTCACCCTCAC